CCCCAAAACCCCAAAACCCCAAAACCCCAAAACCCCAAAACCCCTGTGAATATAATTTATTTGAAAGATTGCAAATAAATATGCTTAATCATATGTCGAAGAGGAGAAATTTGTTTATTACCTTGATTGTTATTATGATAATGAATGCAGCTATTGCCTCTCAGGATGTACCGATATACGGAGGTTCTGTAGACGATCAATGCCCTACTGATCATGCAGAATCACTTACTTGACTTGCTGACAACTTTTATAAGAAAATACAAGTTTTGTGCCAGTTTGTACTGCAAATAATAGCTTTTATCCGTAAAATATTTGGAAATTTCTCGATTCTGAACATATTTGAACTCAAAGAATTCACAAAGAATGCTTTAGAGATTAATAGAAAAGGGAATGAAAATATCTTCAATATTTTCATGCTCTATCCAATAAAAATCGCATCGCTAATAGTAGATGAACAAAATGACGGCAAAATCCAGCTTGCAATGGAGTTCTATAAGACAAAGCATGAAATAATTTCCAAATTTTACCTCAACCACCAAGCCTCGAACCCATTCGAAGACGAAAAGAAAGGCCAATGCGTCAGGACCTTAATTAACAACCTTCTTCTACCTCCAAAATTCTACTCAAACGAGGGCACTTCCCTCTGCGATGCCTACAGATCCCAAGTTGAATCCTACTCCAATATTGTGATTCCTCCAAACTCCTCTGATTTGTAAGCATAGCCCCTTTCTTTCCGTTCCAAATTCTGTCAAATTTCTAATGCATGCATATAGCCAGGACATGTCAGTACAGAGCTATGTGGCCACTATAGGTGTTTTAACCCTGCTCATCCTTGGTATGCTCAGACTGGTAAAGAAAGAGTGGGCTGAGTATGGAAAGAAAGCCAGAAGAAAGATGATTTTGGAGAGACAAGAAAGAGTACAAGAGATGAGAGGTTTTTAGTGAAATTCAAGCAAATTAAAATTTTAGGGGTTTTGGGGTTTTGGGGTTTTGGGGTTTTGGGG